TTCTTTCTCGACAATAATTGTCTTGTCATCTTTAACGATTATTATGTATTGTGTCAATTTTTTATATTCAACCAATACTACCGTTTTTGAAATATTTAAATGGTGCTTAACACTGATTAGAAAATTAGGTTTAACAAAACAAAAAAAAACGTACCTGCAAACCTGGTTTCGATTATAAAAATGAAAGAAGATAATATGAATTATTTAAGTTCCTTTTTTTTCTGCCGATATTTATTTAAAATCTAAGGTGATATTTTAAAATTCACAAGTCTAGACTTGTTTACGTAATAATATTCATTAGCGATATGTAAATGTCATCAAATTAAAACATTATTTCCACGAATACTGTTATCAAAGTATTGATTTCTTCTTCTTATTATTATTATTATTAATATTATTATTATTATTATAAAAAAATTTTATAACGTTGGCAATATTAACATTAATGCGTTTTTAAATTAATAATAATAATTATAATCATTGTTATCAGCGTGTTATATCTTTTGTTCTTTCTTTTCTTGAAATGATCGAAAAGGTAATTGCTTGCTTTTTTTTTATCGTGCTAAAGCAATAGAAATTACTTAAAGGCACGATCAAACTCTTTCGTATAAGTTCGATTAAAAATGATTTTTTATAAATATCTTATTTGCCAATGAAAAATTCAATTGTTTTTTTTACATGAGCTAGCAATGTTATCTTCGTTAGATCTTATTAGCTATGATCTTGATATGATTGATGCGTGTAAGTATTCTTAATAATCTGCCTGCATATTTAAGAATACCACAATCATTTTGTTATCTCATTTTCAATTAATTTTTTTTTTTATATGTTATTTAAACAGTTAAAGAGATTAACTATGCATTATTATGTAATATAATATTACGTATTTAATCGAATTTTAAATGTCAATATATATATATATAACTCTAATCGTTAATTCGGGATCCCTTTTCTGAATATAACACAGCTAATTAATTAATTATTTCGAGATTATTTATATGATTAGATATTTCTAAAATTATTTCAAATATCAAATAATAGATCAAATTTGACAAAGAATCATTCTGATATTTATTCTGTCATCATATTAAAAATCATTTATTAAGACAATTATTTAAATAAAAGTTTTTTCTCCGATACTTTGTTTATCGTTATTTGTGTTTCACACGACTAAATAAAAACAAAATATAATGATAATAATAATAATAATAATAATAATAATAATAATAATAATAATAATAATAATAATAATAATAATATTAATTATAAAAGGAAAAAGAATATTATGTTTTAAAAAAGTTTGGAAAGAAAATATGAACGAAGAGCATCGTACGATGATGTTGATGAAATATCTATATTCATTTTTATTGTTTTAAAGTAATATTGCAACGTCAAAGGTGCTTCACAATATGTTCTTAGAGTGGTATTGTTCTCCTTTCAAAATTGTCATTTTTTAATTTAATGATTACCGTGTATGGAATTTCATATTTACGTAATACTTTTACTTGAATTGAAGGCAACGCATAATGAATAAGATACGAGTTTTAAGAATTTCAAAACAATACGTTATCGTATTATTATACGATTTTATATATATATATATTTTATTACATATATTTAAACAATATCATGAAACAGGTATAAACAATTAGTTCGAATATTTTCTTTTATCATTTAAAAACGAATTTTTAAGTTTTTCTTCATATATTATTATAATGTATCTGAAACGGAAAATAATTTTTGTTTAAATATATACATCACGTTTATTGACAATTCAAGTAAAAATTTCGTATCTTCGGAGTCAAATTTCAATAGGGAAAATTATACGAATCGATAGTTTATATAATCGCTCAAGTATTATTAAACTATTATATATTATATAACGGGGATAAGATCAACAGAATCTTAAGAATACTTTAACTTTTGTTTGGTGACATTAGGAGTACATTCATGATGAAATAGTGTGTATCGTTCTCCATTCTGTGTTTTTCTTATATTTCTTTTTTTTGCATTTTTTTGTTTTGTTTTGATAAATCATGAATATAATTTATGTATATTCATTGGGGGATGTGTTCATTCGCAATCTTAAAACTTATATACTAAACAATTTCTTTTTATCGTGTTTAAACAGCATCTACGATTTAATCTATGTCTTAACATTATATTAAAAATGAATAGAAAAGTTGCGAACTAATTAAATTAATGCTGTTTTGTTTTAAAGACACCCGGCGACTAATGAACGTTGTCGCCAGGTAAAAATAGCAAAAAAGAAATTAATTCCATCGCTATAACGAAAATATCTGCTGGCCATTCTCATAAACCAGTATTTTGTACATAGTTCTTTAAAACGTTAATAAAACGTTTTTCTTCTTGTTTTATTTTTTTTTTTTTTTAATTTTTTTTTCTTTTCATTTTTCTTCTTTTTTTTTTTTTATTCCATATAATTTTGATATTTTATAGAGAAGAAGAACACGAGAAGAACAAAACTAAGTCGTTAAGAAACGATATCGGCGAGCACTTAAAATGTATAAATTACACGTATTAATAATCAACGTCTTAACTATTACGTAGGTATTCGAGCGAATATATATATATATCTCTCGATGAAAATATTCGGAGCGTATCTCTGCAAAACAGAATTGTTAATATTACGTTGTTTCAGGTTTATGAGCTTAGCTAATACCCCATCATTTATTTGCCTTAGCTATAAACGTGATCGGTTGGAGTTATAAGAGAATAAATAAAATAACTTTACAAATGTTAATTTTGATGAATTTCACTATATAAGAACATCATATATATATATACACATGTTATGCATTGGAAAGTCATAGTAGGGTACAGTTTTCTTTTTTTTTCGCTTCTTTATAGTAGAATATGCATAGAATAGGTTTGTTACAACATATAATGATTTGGTTGGACCTAACTATAATAATCAATACTTTAATGCGTCCGCCAGTCCGACGCGACTGGAGGGATAGGAGGTGAGGGTGGAGTCGGAGGGGGGAGGCAACGTAGGTCGGGTGTCGTTCATCCGGTGATTTTAGGTCCGATTCGTAATAATGGACGGGGGGTGGGCTGGGGGAGGATGAATATTCAAGGGAGGAAAGGAGACAAAGATAGGGTGAGACAATGAGAGTTTCGGAGGGAGGATAAGAGAAGGAGAGGGGTAGGGGTAGGGGGGTCTAACAGGAAATATATTTGAGTTTTTATTTTATCATAACTACCATTAGAGATCCAATGTGGTTTTCTTTTTTTTTTTTTT